TCAGATTATATGTCAAATTCATGCATAAGGATAATAGTAACAATCTTCCTAATTTTGGGATCATGATTGTTGGGAAGTTCATAGAATATCTTTTTAGTGTCGAATGAGTATGCGAAAAAATCTTTCTAACTTAACTATAAGCATAGAAATAGCATCCACATAGAAGTTTGTTTTATCAAGGATCGATCCTCAAATTATGGGTATGACTGCCGTGCAATCAAAGAATTCCTGAATAATACTCTTCCATATAAGTTTCCCGCTACCCACATGATAGATTTTAGTTTTAAAATTTGTGGGAGCTTTAGTTTCCGGAGGATCATGATTAAGATCACAAGATTCAAGTTTTTTGTCAAGAGTTTCACTAGTGCTATCTTCACTAGGGATTTCAACAATAACTTTCTCAAATTCAGACATGATAACAACTTCAAGCAAGCAAACAAAAATGTTTTATGTGTTTTTGTAAAATTGTTTTAGAAGTGGGGGAGATGAAAAAGAGAGGCGAATGGACAATCAAAGTAATAACAAGTAGATGATAGTTTATGCGAAGGTACTTGATAGATTTTGGTGATTTCTCTCCGGCAACGGTGCCAGAAATTCTTCCTACTACCTGTGAGCTGCGTTTGGATTTTCTTGAAGAGGAGAGGATGATGCAGTACAGTAGAGATAAGTTTTTCCCTCGGCTAAGAACCAATATTATCAATCCAGTAGGAGAACCACGTGAAATCTCGTTAACAATACCTACACACAAAAGAGGAAATACTTGCACCCAACGCGATCAAGGGGGTTGTCAATCCCGTTGGCGGTTATTTGCAAGGATCAAATCTCGTAGTGACAGATAGATAAAATAAAATACAAAATAAAATAATGGTAAATCAATTGCAGCAAGATATTTTTGAAATTTATATATGATAAAACTAGACTCGGGGGCCATAGTTTTCATTAAAGGCTTCTCTCTGGAAGAAAAAGCATACGGTGGGTGAACAAATTACTATTAGCAATTGATATAAAAGCGCATAGTTACGAAAATATCCAGGACAATGATCATGTATATAGGCATCACGTTCAAGACCAGTAGACCGACTCATGCCTGCATCTATTACTATTACTCCACCCATTGACGGATGTCCAACATGCATCTAGGGTATTAAGTTCATGAAAAACGAAGTAACACCTTAAGCAAGATGATATGATATAGACAAAGTAAATGCAACCAATATGAATAAACCCCGTCGTTTCCCCCTTAATGGCAACAATACAAATATGTGTCTTGTCTGCTACTTTGTCACTGGGATATAGAGCACCGCAAGATTGAACCCATTACAAAGCACCTCTCCCATTGCAAGACAAATCAACCTAGTTGGCCAAACCAAACAGATAGATTAGAGAGAAATACAAAGCTATAATAATCATGCATAAAAGAATTCAGAGAAGACTCAATTAATATTAATGAATAATCTAGTTATAAACCCACAATTCATCGGATCCCAACAAACGCACCGCAAAAGAAGATTACATCGAATAGAACTCCAAGAACATCGAGGAGAACGTTGCATTGAAGATCAAAGAGAGAGGAGAAGCCATCTAGCTACTAGCTATGGACCCGTAGGTCAGTGGTAAACTACTCACTCATCATTAGAAGGGTAGCAAAGTTGACGTAGAATCCCTCCGTGATCGATTTCCCCTCCGGCGGAGTACCGGAAAAGGCCTCTAGATAGGATCACGGAAGAACAGAAACTTGTGGCGGCGAAAAAAGTATTTCGGGTGGCTGTCTATTGGTTTCTCGATATTAGAAAATTTATAGAGGTGTAATCAGGTCAGACGGAGCCACGAGGGGCCCACAAGGTATCAGGGCTCGCTTACCCCCTAGGCGCACCCTGTTGCCTTATCGTCTCCTCATTTGCCTTGTGATCTGCTTCCAAAGCTTCTAAGGTCTTTCTTGTCTAGAAAAAAATTGTCAAAAAGTTTCGTAGCATTTGCACTTCGCTTGGTACTAATTTCTTGAAAAACCAAAAACAGGCAAAAAATAGCAACTAGCACTTGGCACTAGGTTAATAGGTTAGTTCCAGAAAATGATATACAATTGCATATTAAACATCCAAGATTGATACTATAATAGCATGGAACAATAAAAAAATATAGATACACAACTCTAACCAATCCCCTAAAAATAAAGGAGGATCAGGTGGAGTAAACCCTTAGAGGAGTATTTTTACTCCACTAAGATTTGGCCGAACCTAGCCGATCCCTTAAATATAACAAAGTAATTTTTTTTCTAAACTTGTGCAATTCTAGTATGCATTCTAACTAGATATTAGCACACATATAGAAACTAAACATAAATACGAATATTTAAGCAAATCATGAATACAATCTACAAACCAAATTATTCAAATTTAAACACACCGAATTGTCCAAGTGTAGCAAATAACATGTGAAAGGACAACTAGGAAGCCTATGAAGTTGCCAATGATGCTCAATAAGATCTTCTTGGAGCTGAGCATCAACTTGTCATTTCTCGATCATGTGATGCTCATCAAGGAATGCCAGGATTCTATTTGTACCATACTCTAGCTCAATGGGAATCCCTTTGGTGATGCACCAAAAGCTCCCAGACATAACTCTCTCGACTTCAATGATCATGTGCAATATGATGCAACAAGTCATGATCTGTCATAGAACCTTGGAGCTCTAGTACTCGGCAGGGACATGAACAATTGCAATGCGCTTCTGAAGCACACTGAAGGCTCTCTTCACATCTTTCCTAGCATCTTCTCGAAATTGGGCCAAACGAATATTTTTGTTACCTTTTGGATGCAGAATTATTTTGACTAATGTAGCCCATGGTAGATAGATGCCATCCGCAAGGTAGTAACCCATCGAGTAGTTGTGCCCATTCACCGAGTAGTTGCAAGCAGGAGCATCTCCTATAATAAGACTATAAATCAATGGTGACCCCGTTAGCACATTCAAGTCATTATGAGAGCCAGGGAAACCAAAGAATGAATGCCATATCCAAAGATCTTTTGTTGCAACTACCTCAAGAATGATTGTTGGATCATTGCAGTGGCCTTTCTGCTGGCCCTTCCACCCTGCACGACAATTCTTCCATGTCCAGTGCATACCATCAAGTGATCCAAGCATCCCTGACCATCCTCTTACTTGACTCTTTGTCATCAGCATTTGGGTGTCCCCCTCGTCGGGTGCCCTCAAATAGTCAGGTTCAAAGACATGGATCACTGCTTTAGTAAACCTTCGAAGAGCCTCCAAGATTGTGTCTTCACCAATGCGGACATAGTTGTCAAATGGCATCGGTCGAACACCCATATGCCAATACTCGAATAGCCGCAATGCACTTCATCGGAGGGCTTGCACTTACCTCTCCACTTGCATTTCTTCGGAGCTTGAACCAGCCATCATAATTCTCAATGGCTTTTGCAATGGTCAGAAAAAGACTTATGTGCATCCGAAAGCGTCGATGGAAGTACTTCTCCGGATAAGTTGGATTGGGAGCAAAGTAGTCTCTCATGATTTTGGCATGACCCTCCACTCTATCATGGTTGATGTGTATGCAGGCAAACTGCGATCCTCTTCTAGGCTGCCGAACAACATCATTGAAAATCATGCCTAAAACGGTTTCAAAGTCTTCGTCTTATTCTTCCTCTTTGGATGACGACGAATCCTCCAAGACTATCTCCCTCAACCTCTTCATCTACAATTCAAACGACTTGGTTCAATCCAAATGACACGGTTAAAAAACATACAAAAAAACTCAACTAGACAAACCGTCGAACACTTGCGGTGCGATGGTGGTGCACCGGCCGACCAACGTCGTTTAGACCAAACCAGTGAGCGGTGATGCGTGGGAATGACCTGCAGCGGTGTGCAAGCAAGGTCAGATGCGACAGCCGACAAAAAGGAAGAAGATTCGAAGCAATCTGACGAATCGGCTCTGGTGACAGTGACGGTGTTTCACCTTGATTCCGGCGACGACGACGGGGGCCAAACAGGCTCAGTGTTGGGGGCCAAGGGAGGCAAGAGGTAGCGGCAGGGCCAGCGAGAGGTGCGCAGTGGCGAGCAGTGAGGCGAGTGAGAGGCTCTGTTTTTTACTCCGAGCAGTAGCAGCCGAGTAAATATAGGGACAGGATAGGCGATGGAGGATAATTTTTACTCCACTAACCGTTTTAGGGATCGACTAGATGCTGGTTAGGCTGGTCGTAATGGGAGTATCATATATGGTATCATGCATGCCAACTAGACTTTTTGGATGATGTGGCACACAATTAAATGAGGAAAGAGAGGGCATGGTATCATATCATGATACCGTATCATATTAAATGTTGTACTAGTTTGTTTCATGTATGGCAATTAATAAGACAACCTAAGATGCTAACTTATGATACTATGCATTACGGAGGTAGTATCATATAGTAGTATCATATGCATGATACTAGAATATGATACTCTCCATTACAACCAGCCTTACAGAAGTAAAACCGACTTTTTACTCCTCCGAACGGGGATTGGTCCAAGACACTCTATCCAATATACTATACTGCATGTGCCATCATGGCAACAAAATACCCACATAAATGAGTTAATTAGCAAATAATACAGAATCAGACTACCAAAAGGCCCATCAAAACACAATATTATTAAAAAAATCTATCCATCCCATAATATAACACATTATTACATTAAATATACTCACATATTAAATGTAATAACATCTAATATTTCTCATGTCAATTCGTAGTTCTACAAGGAAAATGGCTAAATCTGATTCCTCCATCTCTCTGATCGTGCGGTAGGCAATCCTTATCATATCCAGTCATCAACAACGCACAACGACTAGTCGTAGCGCACACACACATACAGCACTCGTATAAAAAACCAACAGCGGTCGCAGCTCTCTTTCCCAGGTGAGCCAGCCAGCGAGTGCGCCACCACCACAACCCAGATCTCCGCCTCGCCGGCTGGCCCCCCTCGCCCCCACAACCACCATGCGGAGCACGGGCCCGGCAACAACGGTGACGCGGGTGGCGCAGAGGGTCGTCGCCCCGTCGGCGCCCACGCCCGGGGGCGAGCTCCCGCTCTCCTGGCTCGACCGCTACCCCACGCAGCGCGCGCTCATCGAGTCCCTCCACGTCTTCAAGGGCCGCGCCGGCGACGACGCCGCCGAGTCCCCGGTCAAGGCCATCGAGCGCGCCCTGGCCGCCGCGCTCGTGAGCTACTACCCCATCGCCGGCCGGCTCGCGCTGTCCGACGGCGGCGAGCTGGTCGTGGACTGTACCGGCGAGGGCGTGTGGTTCGTGGAGGCCACCGCGAGCTGCACCCTGGAGGAGGTGGACTACCTCGAGTACCCGCTCATGGTGCCCAAGGACGAGCTGCTGCCGCACCCCACCTACCCCGCCTCCGACCCCCTCGCCGAGGACTCCGTAATCCTTCTAGTCCAGGTAATAATTTAGCAAGACTGCAGAAAAATCCCCATTTTTGGTCCGGCCGGCGTGCGTGTGTTCTGGAACCTTTGGTTCTTCCAAGTCAACGGCATGGGTTGCGATGGCGCTTAATTGCTCGGCCCATTCCCCAATGCAGGTCACGCAGTTCGCGTGCGGCGGCTTCGTGGTCGGGTTCCGGTTCAGCCACGCCGTCGCGGACGGCCCCGGCGCGGCGCAGTTCATGTCGGCGATGGGCGAGATCGCGCGCGGGCGCGCCGCGCCGTCGCTGACGCCGGCGTGGGGCCGCGAGGCGATCCCGAGCCCGCCGGCCGCGTCCGTGGGCCCGCTCCCGGTCCCGACGGAGCTCCGGCTGCAGTATCTGGCCATGGACATCTCCACCGACTACATCGACCACTTCAAGGCCCGGTTCCTGGAGGAGACGGGGCACCGGTGCAGCGCGTTCGAGGTGCTGATCGCCAAGGCGTGGCAGGCCCGCACCCGCGCCGCCGGGTTCGCGAGGGGCTCCCCCGTGCACGTGTGCTTCGCCATGAACGCGCGGCCGGCGCTCCGCCCCCGCGCGCTGCCCGACGGGTTCTACGGCAACTGCTACTACATCATGCGCGTGTCGGCGCCGGCGGAGGCCGTGTCGGACGCGCCGCTGAACGACGTGGTCCGGCTGATCCGCGAGGGCAAGAAGCGGCTCCCGTCCGAGTTCGCGCGGTGGAGCCGCGGGGAGATGGGCGACGGCGGGGACCCGTACCGCATCACGTCCGACTACCGGACGCTGCTGGTGTCGGACTGGTCGCGGCTGGGGTTCGCGGAGGTGGACTACGGTTGGGGCGCCCCCGTGCACGTGGTGCCCCTCACCAACCTGGACTACATCGCGACGTGCATCCTGGTCCGCCCCTCCGCGCACAAGCCCGGCGCGCGCCTCATCACCCAGTGCGTCGCCGCCGACGGCGTCGACGCCTTCCACCGGGACATGATGCGCCTCGACTGATTGGTCCACCACACGATCAGTTGCAGCAGGTGCCGTTGCCAACGGCCAGTAGTTGTCGGCCGGAGAGCAGAGGAGAATATTCTACTGCAACACCACGATACATACATAAAATACGTGTTGTAATGTTTGATTTATTCGTTCCATTCGATTAAATTCGTTTTGCCATTTATAGGAGTACATGATGCGAAGTTGTTGCTTGTGATTCGGGTTGTGAATGTGAAAGAAGAGCTGTAACGATCGAGACATCGAGTTGGTGGGGAGCCACTGTCTCCTCCTGCCTAAGCAAAGCAGGAGTAAGTAAGCAAGTTGTTTGTCACTTGGCACCGGCTTCATCTATGTCGTGCGGTGCGTTGCGTACCAGTCAGGCCATCGCAATCTTGGTTTGTTAAGCCCCAAGTAGGCACAACAGAAGCGGTAGCGTGCGTGGCCTCTCTCGCGGGGTTAAAAGGTGTTCTTTGCTTCTGGAGGGGTTTGAACTTGATCTCACTTGCTTTTTGGTGCGCCTGGCGTGACGAAGATTAGAAGGCGTGCGTGTGCTGGTTTGTTCGGCGATTCGGTTCGGTGGTTGGACAAAGAAGAGGGCAAATTTGACCATTTTGACCTATGAACGAAATCAATTCACGGGATGAACTGACCGTGAAATTATTTCACAGCCCTAACCTTTTTGTGTAGCGCCCGTCACGACGGTGCCACACCCTACTGTGCAGCGCCTAGCAAGGGGGCGTTGCACACCAGTCCACCGTGGCAGCCCCTGGCCCCGCACCCAGCAGTGCAACGCCTCCACGCTAGGCGCCACACATGTATTGTGCAGCGCCCAGCGCTTAGGCGCTGCACGGTGACTTAGACGCCAGCCGCCCGCTCCCCCTCCCCCACCCCACCCATTCGTTCGGTTTTGAAGTAACAGAAGCAGCGGCGCGGCGGGTTCCTCCTCTCCCCCTCTCAACCCCCTCTCCCAAATCCTTCAGATCCGACGATTTGGTCGGTGCATTTCTTCACCAATCCATCCTAGAAGGTACTCTCTTCCGATCCCCTTCTTTCTATCCATAGAAAATATGATATTTTGAAGATTTGGGGAATCCTTGTTTGATTAGATTATATTTGAATCTTGCATGTATTAGAACTTTGCATGTATTGATTTGTTTGATTGATTTGGGGAACCCTTGTTTGTTTGATTTGTGGAACCCTAGTTTAGTTTATGGAAGAGTTATTTTTATGAAGTAGGCATAGTTTATGGAAAAGTTATTTGTATGAAGTAGGCCTAGTTATTTGTGGAACCCTTTTTTGTTAGTTATGTTTGATTTGATATGGTTGGATACATAGATTGGTATGGTTGCATCTAGTAGGCCTACTTTAGTTTTTTTGTATTCAAAAGATAATCGTGTTGACAAGAAAACTTTCTTGCAAATTGCTAGGATGGTTTGGCTTCTCAATGATCATTGGGATCTACAACACCGGTCGTACGCTATGTCGGTGAAGCAACAGGTAATAATGAAAGTTGCCAGTGTTATGAATTTCGTGTTTTTTTTCAAACACATACCCCCCATATGTAATGATTTGTTTGTTTGCTTGTAGGAGCTTGCACCTCTGAAGCTTCGGGCTCACGGGTCAACCTTGGGTGGATGCGCTATGATGAGCGGTACACGCCGTATGTTAGGGAGACAGGACTTCTCCCTTTCATTCAGTTGGTCAGCAGGTCGACGCCACCCAACAATGCTCCAGCACTCACCGCGCTTATTGATCATTGGAGGCCGGAGACACACACTTTCCATCTTCGGACCGGGGAGATGACCTTGACGCTCCAGGATATAGCTATGATCACCGGTCTTCCTATCGATGGGAAACCTCTATGTATGAGCACCAATTCTGATGGGTGGCGCGAGCAAATGCTTGCCCTTATCGGTATGGTTCCTCCGGAGCCGCGGGAACCAGAAGTAGAAGGCAAGAAGAAGGAAAGAGTCGCAGACGGTGCTACTTTCACGTGGATTGTATCGAACTTCAGTAATTTCCCTGAGGATGCTAATGAGGACACAGTGAAGACATATGCTCGTGTCTACATGTGGTACGTGATATCCAGGAGTATGTTTGCTGATGGCACAGGCAAGAATGCTCCATGGTTGTGGCTCAAGGCGTTGACCGTCTTCGATAGCAAATGGAGTTGGGGTTCGGCGACACTGGCTTACTTGTATAGACATGTATGAAGTTGTTTCTGTTTCAATTCATTGGTACATTATGAATGCGATCTTGCTATTAATTCAACCATGTTCTCTTTTATGTGCAGTTGGACGAAGCCTGTTGTAGGCTATCTGGAGGTATTGGTGGTTGTTTGCTCGCACTTTCCATATGGAGTTGGGAGCGTTTGCCGGTTGGACGACCGAAGACCGTGAAGTTGGAGGATTGGGACGAGAAAGACGACCCACTACGGCTCCCCACTTGGGCTTACAAGTGGGATGTGTTAAATGAGATGACGGATGATCCCTCGGTCATGTACAAGCTGTACAGGAGCGAGATGGACGCGATCACGCCTGAGCGGGTGAATTGACATTGCATAAGTTATTATCATGCTTCCGTCGTAACTCGATATCAATTTTTCATTCTATCCAATTTTGTAGGTTGAATGGGAACCTTATGAAAAAGGAGAGAGTTTTAGGAACCCTATAGAGTTCAGGCTGAATCCGATGTGCACTAGGGATAGGGATCTCTGGCATATGCGGTGTCCACTCATATGCAACTGGGCGGTTGAGCTTCACATGCCACATCGGGTGTACCGTCAGTTTGGTTTGTTCATGCCACACCCGCCGGAGTTTGAGGACACGGATATAGTGCTACACGCATAAGATATAATCAACCTTGAGCAATTAGCAGCTTCTCGGCGGTTTCGATGATGCTAATATTATGTTTCTAACTTGCAGGTTGGATAGGAAAAAGCAGCGGAAGATCAAGGATTGGGCCAAGCATCACAACAAGTATGTCATACAGTGGGCGCTTGCTTTGGAGCAAGCTATGGCTGGAAAACGAGCCAAGCTTCGTGAGCACTGCCCGATTGCGTTCAACAACTATCTCACATGGTTTCTAGGCGTCACCCGTGTGGAGGTATGCAAGCCGGCGTATGATGATAAGATTTTGGAAGAACCCACCGTCTTTGATGAGGTAGCCCAGCACCAGTACAACGCATTAGTCAGGAAAGGCAACTCCGTGATCCCTGCAGGGCCAATGATGAACTTTGTGGTATGTGCCCTTTTTGCTTTTCAATTCACAATATTCACATCTTCACTTGCCTAACACATTAATGCCTTTTCTGTTCATAGCGTGCCCAGATCAAGAAAGCAGCTGATGAGACCGACACTATTCTGGAAACAACCCCGGCTGGCAAAAGCGATGGGGAAGGTGCACTTCGAGCATTCATTAAGGTTCACATCTCCTTCAAACTAGCACTTAACATGTGTTGCTACGTTCGATGTCTCATTCACTTGTGCATGTTGCAGCGCCAGGGCCAAAAGTTAAGGAGGCTGTCAAACCTTTTCGGTTGTCGTGACCCCGAGTATGTATCACCAGAACGTTCTAGGTCGGCGACACCATCAGATCCAACTTCTAGCCATGCTAATCCATTGGACAATGAGGATGTGGGTGTGGTCACCCAAGATGTGGGTGTGCTCACCCAAGAGGTATGGCCTGAGGTTATATATCCAATTGTTGATGCATTGCTAACTATATTCTCACACACGGTCTTTTCATATCTTTTGTGGATGCATAGGTTCCTGATGATATGACCTTGGGGACCTACAAGGTTCGGTCTGCATACGAGTTAAAGCCTAGGAAGGGAATCAACAAATACACACTTGAGGACTTCACCCAAAGAGGCAAAAGGACGGTCGGCACCTCGCGGATGGCGGCTTTGGACGACTATTTGGATGACGATGTGGATGACGTGGAGGAACCGGAGCCAGAGCCGGAGCGGGTTCGTCTCCCTAGGAAGGTGAAGAAGATACCCTCCAAGAGAGGGGGAGGAGCCAGCAAGCGCGGAAGGAACTAGTCGTCGTTCTCTTTTAGTAATGGTAGTAATGGTAGCTATGTTGGTGGTAATGTCGAACTTGTCGTGATGGTCATTCTATGTGTTGAACTCTATGTTGGTGGTAATGATTAACTTAAATCTCTCACCGCGCTTATTCTGTGATGCAACTATCTGTGATGCAAAACTGGAACAACAAGGAGCAACAGAACGGAGGAAAAGTTACAGACATGTGTGACGCCTAGCCTGGAGGCGCCACATACCACAGTGCAGCGCCTAGACAGGAGGCGTCACACACCACAGTGCAGCGCCTCCGTGCTAGGCGTTGCACTATGGAGTGTGACGCCTCCAGTCTAGGCGCTGCACAGGTCTGTAGCATGACACACATTCTGTTGCTCTCTGTATAGGTACAGACCTGTGCAGCGCCTAGACAGGAGGCGTCACACACCACAGTGCAGCGCCTCCGTGCTAGGCGTTGCACTATGGAGTGTGACGCCTCCAGTCTAGGCGCTGCACAGGTCTGTAGCATGACACACATTCTGTTGCTCTCTGTATAGGTACAGACCTGTGCAGCGCCTAGACAAGAGGCGTCACACACCACAGTGCAGCGCCTCCGTGCTAGGCGTTGCACGTGGACTTAGTGAATTTTTTAGCATGTGCAAACATAGTAAGATGATGTGAAGTAGGATTGATACATAGCAATCTAACAACTCTGAAGAGAATATATGCATGACACATAGTTCATAACACATAGTACTTCACGACACATAGTAGTTCTTACAACCAAATCGAGGAGGAGACATAGTAGTTCACAACACATAGTAGTTATTACAACCAAATTGAGGAGGAGACATAGTAGTTCACGACACATAGTAGTTCACAACCAAATCGAGGAGGAGACATAGTAGTTCACGACACATAGTAGTTCACAACCAAATCGAAGAGGAGACATAGTAGCTTTATTGCGTAGAGCAAGGCCCCTTTCCCTTCTTCT